ACTATGACGACTGTTTGTAAAGTGGCATACATCCCCTTTCAGACTCTCAGCCTTATTTTCTTTCTAGTTGTATTGTTTCTCGGAAAATTTGCTTCCTGGCTCTGTCCACTGGAGGAACACACGCAAGGTCACCTGGAACATCTTGCTTTGTTTTCTCTTTAGGTCTAATTGAGTAGACCGGCAAGCTCCCAGGTGGGTGTTTATAATAAAGCTGCACAGGAGGCAAATTACTTCTTTCTTCAGCCTTTAAAAGAGTGATCTCTAAAATCTCTTCCAGCTATTAAAGTGGAATTCTCAGAGTATTCTGTGTGCGTATGTGGTCCATCATGTAACTGGAGACACCTGGACTGTGTCTAAGAGGCCTTTTAAATGGCAGAGGAGAACCTGTCTCATTTAACAGCTGCAGTGACTATATTTAGGAAAAGCATCTCATTGGTAAGTTGGGATATTTTTGCTGGGTTCTTAGGTCATGCAGAGTTATAAAATGTGTTTGTGTAAGGGTGTGTGTGCGTGGTGGGGCTAGGCAGGCGGTTTTCTCCTTGTTGCTTCTCTATGGTTGCATAAATTATTTTTAAAAAGTGTTTCACATACTTGTAACATTTTCCTTGTTTTAGTGGTAAGATACATAAGCATATGCAAATATGAATATATGTAGCAAAATATATAAATATACGTGTATAAATTATACTATATATATATATATATACACACACACACAGTATTTGTATAAACACAGTGATTCAATTTGATGCAAGGTCAAGTTCAGGGTGTCTTTGAAAAATGAATCAGAAAGAACCTATGATGGGTATTCAGTCCAGCTTTGTTTTACAAATTAGGAATTTGAGTGTCAGAGTGGTTATTTTATTCAAGGCAACTAGTCCATGACCAAGGTGGAACTAGAACACAGGCCTTCTGACAAGTACCTTAAGTCAGCACCAATCACGTTTGGGCCGTTCACAATAACAGCACATATAATGACGTCTAAAAAAAGGAAGGCTTGGGCAGCCCGGGTGGCACAGCGGTTTAGCACCTGCCTTCAGCCCAGGGCGTGATCCTGGAGACCCGGGATCGAGTCCCACATCGAGTCCCACATCGGGCTCCCTGCATGGAGCCTGCTTCTCCCTCTGCCTGTGTCTCTGCCTATCTCTCTTGAATAAATAAATAAAATCTTTAAAAAAAATAAAAAGGAATGCTTAAGTAACAGTGCTCAACAGGACAATATATGGATTGCTGGGAAGCGATGTGTAGCACCTCCTTGAAGCAGATGATGATAGCTAACAAGGATGGCACAACCAGACTTCTCATCGGCTGGGGTCGGCCAGAGCCAGCAACAGTTCTTGAATCCCTACCAGCCCTATAATGCTCTCGGAAAAATGAAGCAGGTATCTCCCTGCCCTAGAGATACTTAGAGGCTCACAAGTGAGTCAGGCAGGAGGAAAAAACAAAAAACAAAAACCAGTTTGTTATGCTAGTCCCCCTGTGGTGTATGCATTTAAATAGTTCTGGGGCAACGTGAAAATGTGCACCTGCCATACGATTTCACTTATACGAAGAATCTAAAAAAAAAAAACAAAATAAAAAACCAGAAATAGACTCATAAATACAGAGAACAGACTGTGGTTGCCAGAGGAGAGGAGGTGGGAAAAGTTGAAGTAGGTGAGGAGAGGTCTGAACTTGCAGTTACAAGTAAGTCATGGGGATGAGAAGTACAGTGCAGGCGTTACCGTCCACAATACTGTGAGGACTGTGTATGGACAGACGGGCACTGCCCCTACCTGTGGTGAGCGTTTCGTAATGTATATAATGTGTAATCACTGCCTTGTGCACTTGAAGCCTATTGTACGTCAGCTATACTTCAATTAAAAAAAAACAATCTGTGCCTATAATCTCTCCCATAGTATAAATATTTGCCTCTAATCTCTCCAATAGTATAAATATTTGTGTTTTCTTGGTCTCTATTTTTGTGTTTTGTTTTGTTTTCTTTCTTTCAAAGTGTTTTGTTTTCAACATACAAATAGTATACTGGAGGATTTTTCTAGAGTATGTCAAGGTAGGCAGGAGGAGCATTGCTCCCCCAAATTAGAGTAAGCAATGGGTAATTGGGGGTGTTCAAGTTTCAAGCACCAAGAGTCTGATTTTTTTTTTTTTTCCACTACAGGCAGAGAAGTAAGAGAACTGTCTGGGGCAGCAGGCTTATTTAATCTAAAATAACAACCATTAAAAACACATAAAGGATTTTTTTCCCTCCAGGATTGTTATTACAGTTCAAAAAATGTTGCTGTTTTATATTCAACCTCAATTTGGGTTAAGGGAGGACGATTTGTTCCTCTTCCAATGATTTTGAAGGTTTCAAGGCAGACTTAAAATATTTTGACTTTTAAATTCAGCATTTTTTTTTCAGATTTTATTTTATTTTATTTTATTTTATTTTTTTTTTATTATTTATGATAGTCACACAGAATGAGAGAGAGAGGCAGAGACACAGGCAGAGGGAGAAGCAGGCTCCATGCACCAGGAGCCCGACGTGGGATTCGATCCCGGGTCTCCAGGATCGCGCCCTGGGCCAAAGGCAGGCGCCAAACCGCTACGCAACCCAGGGATCCCTTTTTCAGATTTTAAAAGTAAATTCAGGCTCAGCACTCACGGTCCCAATGCCAAAGGGAGATGAACATAACACCGACTCAGGCAGATGCCCCCACTACCTATAAATGTGCTTTGGGAAATCAGGCTCTGAATACAGCTGGAACATGAGGTACAGATCATTCCCTTTGCAGAAGTCGCTATCGTTTCCATCTGAAATTCCCCGAGTTAGGAGCTGTCCCCCTGGGAAGCGGCTCCGGCCGTGGGCACTGCTTCCTGACAAGTATCTTGCTTCCTAATTCGAACACTCTGAGCACCAAAGATGATAGTCATCTCATTTTCACTTGCTTTTAAGAAAGCAAAAATAATTTTTTAAAAGTGTCCAGTAGAAAGCTGACCCATATATATTGGAAAGCCAACTTTTCTGATGGAGGGACCTGAGTGACAATCCATTGGGGGCCTCTGGTCTGAAATCCTGCATCCACCCAGAACTGAGAAAGGAAAAAAAAAATTCTTTTGAAGAAAAATTCTAAAAGAGAAAAGGCAGGGAAGTGTGAGTATGAGGCATCACAACCTCATCCTTCCTTCTGCAATGTCCACTGGGCCCCTTGCCAGGGCCCCGACGTGGCGTTCGGCCCCAGGGGTGTGCTGGTGAGCAAGACAGACCCTGCCCAGCCTGCTCTCACCTCAGTCTACTGGTGTCAGGAGACTTACTACTAAATGAGCAATTACAATAGTGTAGGGTAGGCATCCTGGCAGGCAGCGCTTCTTACCGTGTCTGCAAAAAGAATGACATAAGGGATAATTAAATCTAGACCTCTAGGGATGAAACTCGGGCTTCGTGGGGTGTAGAAACTCCCAGGTAATTAGAATATGCAATCCAGATGGGAAGGGGGTGGGGCGGGTTAGTGTAGGATGTTAGGTGAGCACACGGTTCCCCACACTCAGAGGACGCAGGGATCCGCTCTTGGCTTCCTAGGCACAAGTTGCTGGGCCGCGTCCTCACAATCTCTGACCATAGGTCTGGGGTGTGGAGAGGCCGAGTATTGGCATTTCTTTCTTTGTTTTTTAAAGATTTTATTTATTTACTCATGAGAGACAGAGAGGCAGAGACACCGGCAGAGGGAGAGGCAGGCTCCCCGCAAGAAACCCCATGGGGGACTCGATCCCAGGCCTTGGGATCACGAAGGCAGATGATCAGCTGTGGACCGCCCCCCTGCGGCCCGAGAATTTGCTCACCCTGCACCCCCGTCACCCGATGCTCACCCCGCAGTCCCGTCCCCCGCGGCTCATCCTGCACCCCCGTCACCCCTTGGCTCACCTGTACCCCTGTCACCCTCAGCTCACCCTGCAGCCCTGTCACCCGCAGCTCACCCTGCAGCCCCGTCACCCGCGGCTCACCCTGCACCCTGTCACCCACAGCCACCCAGGAGCCACCTGCCGGGTGTCTGGCGACCTGGGGTGTGCTCGGTGCCCACTGCAGTCACCAGGGGGCAGCGTGAGCACAGCCGTCCATCCCTCCCACTGTTACTGCGTCCACACCAAGGGAGAAACAATAAAACCTTCCCTATTAACTTGCTTTTCCTCCTCCTTTCTTTCCCTCACCTCCTCCCCTTAGTTCCTGTCATCTTTGTCTTTCAGCTTCTTTTCTCTTTTTGGGGGAGGCGCACAGAGCCTTTGGCCCCTGCCAACATGCAGTGTGGCCTCTCCGCAGGTCCCCTGTGCTGGTTCCCCGGTGGCCTACCCTGGGGGCGGCACCTCCTCCCCCGGGTGCAGGCCGGCCTGGCGCAGGGGAACCCCCCCAGCAGCTCTGACTCCGCCACGAGCCGAAGCAGGCTTGCCGGAGCCGGGCCGACCCCCCAGCCCTCCGTGCCCGCTGCCCTCAGTAAGGTCCCCCGGATGTTGGCACCCCCCCCAGGACCCGTGAACGGCTTCCTGCAGGCTCGAGGGCAGCCTTCCCCAAAGGCCCGGTGACCTTTCCGGCCGCCGTGCGCACCTGCTCTACCCGTTACACGGAGCTGATCAGCGACCGCACGTTCTCGAAGACAGCATCGTCTTAATCATGGTTTAAAAGGCGCAACGGCTACGGTGCATTGAATGAAAAGACAAAGCCTCTCCACTGTGCCAGCTGTTCGTGTGCCTTTTCACATCTGGCTGCACACACTCCTTCATTGGCTCCTGGAAAGCCGGGGTGACGTGTGGCATCTCTAGGTCTGGCCCTTCCAAGGGCTTCGGGGACTTGCTATATCGTGCGGCCCGGCCGGGGACCCCAGATAGCGGGCAGAGGATTCCGGTCACCACCGGAGCAGACTACACGGCCGTATCCCCCGTGAAGGCCTCCCGGGGAAGCAGCTCCCCACCCAGCTCCGGGGTCCTGGGAGCACCCAAGAGGAGGAAAGAGAAAAGACCCGTGCTCCTACCGTTGTCGTTGCCTTGCTTGATTTCCTCCGCCGTCCGGTCTATTAAAACGTACAAAGACCACACCACGCAGGTGATGGCGATGACGTGGAAGGTGACAGAGCAAAATATTTTCCTCCTTTCGCTCGTGGTCATCTGTAGTTTCTCCCACTGCAATCAGAAAATGAGTCACATGACATGGGATTTCCAGGTAGGGACCCCTGCTCCCCGTTTAGAGCCCAGACGTAGGCCGCGAACGGGGGACAAGCATAAAACACCCACATTTTAAGATGACACAACATTCCAGTAAGTCTTTGTGGTGGGAAGGATACGGAATCATAACCCCTAGAGTTCTATATGACTTCAATATATATTAGAATGAAAACAAGGGACGCCGGGGGGGGGGCTCAGTGGGTGAGTGTCTGCCTTTGGGCCCTCTACCCCTGGGCCCCCCGGCGTCCCTGCATGTCCCCTGTGGTACTGCCTTATAAGCAGTAATAAGTAATCTCCTCGTGGGAGCCAGGGCCGCATCCCGAGTGTGTATTCATTAAGGGGCGTCTGAAGGGCTGCCGGGCAGCGGGGCGGGGAAGTCCACGTCCGCTCACAGCCCTTGCCCTAAAGAACACATTCTATCATCCGGGCAATGGGAAAAAACCGTCCCTTCAAGCACAGGCTTGATTTAGTAGCTGCCACTACTCTCAGAATCACCGTCCGTCGGCCGTACTCCTCAGGGAGTCGAGGGCTGCTCGTCTCGGGGAGGAGGGGCCCACAGTTCTCACAGCGGCGACTGAGGGTTTGTAGGGGGGAATGTGTCCACTCCCCGCTCCGGAGCAACAGGCTGTCGGGGACCAATGCCTCGGCCGCTGCGGTGTCACACACACCTCATCGTGCGCTATTTCTAAGGGAACATCAAATCCCTGTGATCTAAGCAGAGACAAGCCAAGCTTCCGAGAGCCCAGGATTTTTCCCATTCCTTACTTATCACGCTCCTGCTAAAGCAAATCTTCGGAACTCCAGAGGACCCTATTGCTTTCCCCCTCGTCCCCGCACGTGACTCCCCGTACGAGTCAGCCGAAGGCCAGAGAGCCTATGTCAACGCTCCGTAAGTCCTGGCTCTGCCACCAGCTTTGGGACATGGGTGACGTTGCGTAAGTCCTCTGGGCCACTTGCGTCGCAGACTGTGGCAGAGGCTGTGACAGAGGGGTTTGGGGAGAGGATACCTTCTCGCCTCCGTCCTTTACCAACAGACTCCGCCTGCGAGGGTTGGCATCACGCCCGGCAGGGGTGGGCAAGGCCTGGTTTCCACCAGCGCCACGGCACGGCCGTCTACGGGGGACCGGGCTTTTGCGCTCCTGACACAGGAACGGCCCCGTCTTCCCTTCCTTCATTTTCTCTTCTTCGTTACCTGGAACCCGTAATTAATGGCCGGGGTCCCAACAGCCATCTTGCAGCCTCAAGGAAAGGTCTTGAGAGGTGCAGAGACCCCAGCCCGGGGCGCCGCAGCTCATCCCTGGGCGCCTCGGCCCGCTACTTGCCCTCACACGCGCTTCCCGGTAAAAGAATACATGGGATCCTCCTGACTTCCCTCCAGTCTGAGGATCAGGAGCCTACGGATTCATTTGTGAGAAAGCACGGGACCTGACGTCCGATCCTGATGCTCCAGAAAGTTCTGTGAACACTTCAGGAGAAGTACCTGTTTCCTTCCAAACACCACCCATTCCCGGCCTGCTGGCTACTCGTCAACACGGTTTTCCTTGCGAGGGCGTTAGAGCCCAGTAAAAATTCGCACCTCATCTTGTACTTTCTTTTTCCCTTAAATCATACTTTATGTCATTATTCCAAATTAAAAGACGGAGAGATCTTGGTAATGCCGCTACAGGAAAGTCAGAGCTATTTTGTGGTCACTCAACTTGAGCTGAGAGGCTGTGCCTGGGTGTGTCTTGGCCTCCAGCACAAGTTCACGCCGCGCCTGTGAAGGGCCGAGTTTTAAAGCTCCCTTTTGTCATCGACTGTGTCTTGTGACCATGTCACTGATTTTGTCCCGTTAACCTGAGCAACCTGCCTACTTAAGGACGGAATATTATCATCTGGCCACAGCGCTCTGTGGTCCGGTGACTTGAGCGCGTCACCCTTGCCTCCAAAGCGACCCCATAAGTGCAGGACGGTGCGGAAAAGCGGCTTCACACGCCCAAAGTTCCGCAGTGTCCCGGTGGGCGAAAGTACCTGCAGGAACCGAACGGCCACACCCCGTCGCAGGCACTTGCGTGACCGCCGAGCCACAGCCGCGAGGACCGTGTCCTTAGGGCCAAGCACCTGGAGGAGCGGCTGAGACACGTTCTTCACGCTGATGAGCCTCGAGGTCAGGGCTGGCCCTGGGGCCACCGGGCTCGCCAGGCCCCTGCGGCTGCGGACGGCGGGGCCCAGCTGTCCCTCCCGGCGCCGCAGCGGCTTAAGGAGAAGGACGTGCAAGGGCCCGGGACGGTCCTGCTTCCCCCACATGCTGCGGGGGGGCGGCGGGCAGCGCGGCCGTGGGCGCCTCCGGGTCGAGACCAGCTTCCTGTCCTCACCGCCTCCGAGCCCGACCTCCTCCCTCCCCGACCTCCACCCGCCCCGACCTCCTCCAGCCCCGACCTCCTCCGAACCCGACCTCCTCCGAGCCGGACCTCCTCCGGCCCTGACCTCCTCCCGCCCCGACCTCCTCTGAGCCCGACCTCCTACAACCCGGACCTCCTCCAACCCCGGCCTCCAGCCCAGACCTCCTCCGAGCCCAGACCTCCTCCGAGCCCGACCTCCTCCGGCCCCGACCTCCTCCGAGCCCGACCTCCTCCAGCCTGGGCCTCCTCCGGCCCCGACCTCCTCCCGCCCCGACCTCCTCCGAGCCCGACCTCCTCTGGCCCCGGCCTCCTCCGAGCCCGACCTCCTCCAACCTGGACCTCCTCCGAGCCCGACCTCCTCCGGCCCCGCCTCCACCGAGCCCGACCTCCTCTGAGCCCGACCTCCTCCGGCACAGGCCTCCTCCGGCCCCGACCTCCTCTGAGCCCGACCTCCTCTGAGCCCGACCTCCTCTGAGCCCGACCTCCTCCAACCCCGGCCTCCAGCCCCGATCTCCTCCGGCCCAGGCCTCCACCGGCCCCGACCTCCTCCGGCCCCGACCTCCTCCGGCCACAACCTCCTCCGGCCCCGACTCCTCCGGCCCCGACCTCCTCCTGCCCCGACCTCCTCCGAGCCCGACCTCCTCCAACCTGGACCTCCTCCAACCCCGGCCTCCAGCCCCGACCTCCTCCGAGCCCGACCTCCTCCAAGCCCGACCTCCTCCGGCCCCGACCTCCTTCGATCCCGACCTCCTCCGAGCCCGCATCCTCCGGCCCAGGCCTCCTCCGGCCCCGACCTCCTCCGAGCCTGACCTCCTCCGGCCCCGGCCTCCTCCGGCCCCGGCCTCCTCCGAGCCCGACCTCCTCCGGCCCAGGCCTCCTCCGGCCCAGGCCTCCACCGGCCCCGACCTCCTCCAGCCCGACCTCCTCTGAGCCCGACCACCTCTGAGCCCGACCTCCTCCAACCCGGACCTCCTCCAACCCCGGCCTCCAGCCCCGACCTCCTCCGAGCCCGACCTCCTCCAAGCCCGACCTCCTCCGGCCCCGACCTCCTTCGATCCCGACCTCCTCCGAGCCCGCATCCTCCGGCCCAGGCCTCCTCCGGCCCCGACCTCCTCCGAGCCTGACCTCCTCCGGCCCCGGCCTCCTCCGGCCCCGGCCTCCTCCGAGCCCGACCTCCTCCGGCCCAGGCCTCCTCCGGCCCAGGCCTCCACCGGCCCCGACCTCCTCCAGCCCGACCTCCTCTGAGCCCGACCACCTCTGAGCCCGACCTCCTCCAACCCGGACCTCCTCCAACCCCGGCCTCCAGCCCCGATCTCCTCCGGCCCCGAACTCCTCCGAGCCCGACCTCCTCTGGACCGACCTCCTACGAGCCCGACCTCCTCCGGCCCCGACCTCCTCTGAGCCCGACCTCCTCCAACCCGGACCTCCTCCAACCCCGGCCTCCAGCCCCGATCTCCTCCGAGCCCGACCTCCTCCGGCCACAACCTCCTCCGGCCCCGACCTCCTCCGGCCCCGACCTCCTCCGGCCCCGACCTCCTCCCGCCCCGACCTCCTCTGAGCCCGACCTCCTCCAACCCGGACCTCCTCCAACCCCGGCCTCCAGCCCAGACCTCCTCCGAGCCCAGACCTCCTCCGAGCCCGACCTCCTCCGGCCCCGACCTCCTCCGGCCCCGACCTCCTCCGGCCCTGACCTCCTCCCGCCCCGACCTCCTCTGAGCCCGACCTCCTACAACCCGGACCTCCTCCAACCCCGGCCTCCAGCCCAGACCTCCTCCGAGCCCAGACCTCCTCCGAGCCCGACCTCCTCCGGCCCCGACCTCCTCCGGCCCCGACCTCCTCCGGCCCTGACCTCCTCCCGCCCCGACATCCTCTGAGCCCGACCTCCTACAACCCGGACCTCCTCCAACCCCGGCCTCCAGCCCAGACCTCCTCCGGCCCCGACCTCCTCCGAGCCCGACCTCCTCCGGCCCCGACCTCGTCCGGCCCAGGCCTCCTCCGGCCCCGACCTCCTCTGGCCCCGACCTTCTCCAACCCCGGCCTCCAGCCCCGACCTCCTCCGGCCCCGACCTCCTCCGAGCCCCGACCTCCTCCGAGCCCGACCTCCTCCGGCCCGGGCCTCCTCCGGCCCGGGCCTCCACCGGCCCCGACCTCCTCCGGCCCCGACCTCCTCCAGCCCCGACCGCCTCCCAGCCCCGACCTCCTCCCGCCCCGACCTCCTCTGGCCCCGGCCTCCTCCGAGCCCGACCTCCTCCAACCTGGATCTCCTCCAACCCCAGCCTCCAGCTCCGACCTCCTCCGGCCCTGACTTCCTCGGGCCCCAGTCTCCTCCCGCCCCGACCTCCTCCAACGCCGGCCTCCAGCCCCGACCTCCTCCGGGCCCGACCTCCTCCGCCCCTGACCTCCTCCGAGCTCGACCTCCTGCGGCCCCGACCTCCTGCGGCCCTGACCTCCTCTGGCCCCGACCTCCTCCGAGCCCGACCTCCTCCGGCCCCGACCTCCTCCGGCCCCGACCTCCTCCAAGCCCGACCTCCTCCGGCCCCGCTTCCTCCGGCCCTACCTCCTCCGAGCCCGACCTCC